TTTTTTTTTTTTTTTTTTGAGACAGAGCCTCAAGCTGTCACCCTGGGTAGAGTACTGTGGCATCACAGCTCACAGCAACCTCCAATTCCTGGGCTCTAACGATTCTCCTGCCTCCGCCTCCCAAACAGCTGGAATACAGGCACCTGCCACAACACCTAGCTAATTTTTGGTTGCGCCGTCATTGCTGTTTGGCAGGCCCAGGCTGGATTCAAACCCACCACTCAGGTGTATGAGCCACAGGAGCTGAGCCAAAAAAGACCTCTTGATAGTGCAAAAATTGGACTTATGTTGCCATAAGGCAGAGAGCACTAAGGCTTGAAGACAACCCCCAGGAGCTGGAAGCGGCACAGAAGGATCCTTCCTAGGGCCCTCAGAGGGAGCATGGCCTTGTCAACACCTTGTTTTCTGACTTCTAGGTCTGGAGTCAGTTCTCCAGAACTATGAAAGAATAAACTTCTGTTGCTTTAGCTATTCAGTTTGTGGTCCTTAGTTACGACTGCTCTATTTACACCCTCCAGCCGCTTTCCACCTCGCTTAGAAAAAATAAATCATAAATCATTTTATAGTATCATCTACTAATATAGTAGTATCCTCCTGTTCCATGCCTAGTTACTCCACTCCGGTCACACAGGCCTCCCACCTGGTCCTCAAATACGCTCTGAGCCCTCCCACCAGAGGGCCTCAACAATGGCAGGCTGGTCCTGTCTCCAACCTCTGCAGACCCATTCCCTCTGCTGGAAGGGTTCTTTCTCCAGGAATATACAAGGCTTGCTCCCTCAACCTCCTTTTAGGTCTCTGCTCAGTCACCTTATCACAAATGCTTCCCCTAACTCCCTTCAATATTCCCTTTCCCCATTCAATGTCCCCTATTCCCCCTTTTCTGCTTTATTTTTCTCCACAGTATTTAACATAGCTAACATAAATATTTTGCTTAACCCTTAAAAAGGTTCATCTTGTATGTGAACTCAGTGAGAGTAGGACTTCACTGCTGAATCACAGTGCACTTTATTTACTAAACAAATGAATTCTATGGGGACAGGTGAAATTTTACTCAGAACTGGCTATATGACAAAAAAGGTTTCTGCTAATTAAGTGGGACAGCAGAAGCTTCTATAGATGAAGGGCAAGCTCAAGGTTAGGCTCTGAGGTCTGGGCAAGACTCTGTGTGCCAGGTTTCCTTAGGCAGACTGGAGGGCTCCCCACCACTCCTGCGTAGAAATGGGAGGTAAGCAATTTGAAACTCTCTTAAGATCCTCCCTATGAGAAAAAAAAGTCAACACTTACCTGTAATTTTCGTCTCTAACCACACCCCAGTAGAAAGCAACTTAGCCTGAGGAATTTCTGATGCCATATATAAACAGAACCCCACCACAGTGCACTATTATAATCTTTATTTTTTATGAGCTGAGGAATGTCTGATAATAATGTCAGTGCAAATGTACAAACTCTACTTAGGGAAGAAAGCCTCTGATTACCACACTCCATTAAAAAAAAAAAAAAAACACCCGGCAAATAAGCTAGGAGCTTTAAAACAGCTCTTTCTGAGTAAGGAGATAACCCTTTTAAATGATCCTAAGCTAACCTTAATTTTTTCTCCCTTTCCTTCATTGACACTTTTCAAAAACCTTAAAATAAAAGAAGCAGAAAATAAAAGTTTTTCTTTACCTTGGGTTTTGGCCCCAGATCCTGCTAATCCTTGTGATGAATCACAGGATTCCTTGAGAGGTGATCTGATTGGGGTTTCAGCTTCAGGGGTCTCAAAATTACCCTCAGAATCCGAGCTGCCAAAGGGGAAAAATGAGGAATTACCACTTTCAACGGTATTTCAGACACCCTGTAAAATCTGTATATCCACAAAGTCGCATGTTTGTCTAACTTTACAATCAACTGATCCTCCTCACAGACTGGTCTGCAGAAGGCTGCAGCGGTTTTCAGCAGTGCCCCCCTCAGGTTTCTCAGCCTAACCTCCCATCTCTGAAATCTCCATTCTTTACAGATTTTCTTCAGCACCATCTATTTTTGAGGTCATCCTTCCTTCTGATAGAGTCCAACAGACTGCTTTTTTCACAAGAAGAGCCCCTTCCCAAAAGCTTAAATATCAATATTGGTTCCACCCCCAAATTCAGGCAATTCTGGCCCTTCCTTTTCCCCTCCCTCGGCAGGCCTTTACCTGTTTGCAACTCACTCTGCCAGAGACTAGGAATGCTGTCACCTGCCTTTCGCAATCACAAGGGTGACAGCTCGGCAGGGACCACCATTTCTCACCAGCTGCCAGGGGCCTGTCATCACACGACTTTCTTTACCGCGGCTACATTTGGGGGTCACGGAGTGGGGGGTGTGGGAGAGCCAGGAGGGCTCTAAGACTCACCAGATGTGATCAATGACACTACCCTTGTGTGTGTGTGTTAGGGCAGAGGGAAGCTTTCGGAAAGTGGCCTAGGCGAATAGGGCTGCGGAGACTGCAGATTCAGGGTCGAGTTCGGTAAGCACCCAAGCGAAACCCAGGACAGAAAATAAACGGAGGACAGACCATCCTGAACTTTCGAACGTACAGAGGGGACCTGGTCACGGGCAGGGACATAGCATTGCCATGAATATGGTTACGAGGGCGGGCAACCACACACACGCACACAGAATGAGCCGCGGATGGATGGATGGATGGATGGCAGCGCGTCCGCATCTCAGCAGGGATGCTGTGTACTTGCCTGAAACTCAAGGATTTGGTCTCGGCTTGCGAGTCCTCCTCCTCGGGGTCGCCCTCGGGCCCACCGGCCTCGTCCTCCCCGGCGCCCCCGCCGCGCACCGCGGACCACGTCCATTTCGCCCACTGCACGGGGGACAGGATCTGCCAAGGGCTGAACGCCATGAGCGCGGCTCCTCCGGCTCCAGCTCCTAGGGGTAGGGTAAGGGGGAAGAGCCTTTTTCCCTTTCAAAATGGAGGGAACCGGTGACAGGCGCCAGTAAGCGTTTCCAGCCGAGGCGCGGATGTGGTTAAACGAGCGCCGTCGGGGGCGCGGGTGGAGCGCTTCCTCTCGCCGGCAAGCAGCGCCGCTTCCTCTTCGTCCTCTTTCCCAAACCGTGCGGCCGCGGCGCCCCCACGCCAGGCTTCCCTCGCCGTGAAAATGCCTCTCCTGGTTCCTCGTCAGGGCCCCGGCCCGCGGCACCGGGCAGCTCGTACTCCGCGGCTCGTACTCCGGGGTCTCGGGCTCCGGCCTCCCAGCCGGCTAGGCGCGCATCAGCTGCAGCCGAGGCCGCGCCCCAGGAGCCGCCCCCTCGGACCGTACTACCCGCGCGTGCCGGCGGGGGCGGCGGCGGCTCGGGGCCTTTGAAGTCTGCGGCGCGCCTACCGGATCACCCCCGCCGCGGCGCCACGCTGGTCGCGCCCTGACTTCGGGAAGGGGCTGCAGGGGCCGCGGGCGGAGGACCCGGGCGCCCCAGGCAACGCTGCGGGCGTCAGGGGCGGAGGCGATCCACGTTATGAGTCCGTGCACGCTGCGCTTTTCCTCCTGACTTTTTTTTTTTTTTTTAACGTTTCCATCTTGCCACTGGGACTTAATGGCGTTGAAGATATTGGACCGCAAAGTTAATCCCCTTATTAAACAACCACCACCACCAGCCCCACTGTCCTAACTTCGAGGCCGCTGTGGCCTGGTGTTTTTTCCCTCTCCCAGATATTGGCAGCGTGGAACATTTCAGCCTGTTCAACTTCAACCCTCTCACTCCCAGGATTTGGAAATCCCTCAGCAACAGCGCAAGGTGGTCAAAGACCAGAATTTAAGATGCCTTGCCCTCCCGAACAGCCTCTGACGTGGCCAGGTCTTAGGAAGGGTACTAAAATTGCCCTGTGGAATTACAGCCTGATGAGTTTCCCATTCTCCTTTTTTGAGACTTTCTTTTCATAACCTTCTTTGATTTCTGACTTCATTTGCTACTTCAGTAGTAAGCCAAGAGAGGCCTGGTGACATCTTTATGTTTGAAGGCGAAGAGAAATAACAGATTTTCCTCTTTTCCCACAGAAGGATTTCATTTAGGCATTCCTCCTCCCAAAACCACCAGTGCACCCTATCCCAAGAGCATCGGCTGCTTAATGACCTCCTTGCTTGGATGAGGTGTTTCTTGTACTATTAGAGATAATTTCCCAGAATTGCAGTGAATCTGTGAAGTGCTGCAAGTTCCCACGGAGAGAACAGCTACAAAATCTGCATGTTGAAACTTGCAAGAGACTGACCATCTCTCCTGAAAGGGGTTGGCACATACACTGCTGATGAATCATGACTGTCTTTCACACTAGATAACAAAAACAGAAGTAAAAAGAACACAAGATAAGGCTTGGCTAGACATCTTACCATTGGAAAGGGCAAGAATTCCTCTAAAAAAAGAAAGGGTTGTGAGGTTCGCATGCTTTAGAATTCATTCCTGTTTCTTCCCAGAGATAAAACACAACTGTCATGAGAGTTTAGGGACTACAAAGAAGCAACTAGGCTGGAAGGCCATATGAGATATACCACATTACAATCCAACTATTTATATTTTTAGCTTTAAGCTCACTAAGTAAACCTTTAGGTTATAGGGTCCCCCAGGCTCCTGGATTTGACACACTGTTCTGCTGCTGAGAAATATTACTGTCAATAGCTGGCATACACTAGGTCTTGTTCCTTCTACCTCCTGAATAGTTCTCTAATCTTTTCATACCTCTGCCTCCCCACTGTGACTGGTTTAGTTCTCATACTCCCCCTTTTTCACAGATCTGCTGTGAATGACTCCCACTTGGTTCTGCCTCCAAGCGCTTTCTCACCTGAGGTCACCCCAGTCTGGTTGATCTGTGACTGGTCCTTTAACTGTGCAGTTCCTGTTCCCCTCTATTCCTGTCTCTTTGAATTCCCAGCCACAATTAGTAGAGAATTGGTTGTGAACCTATAATATGCCCCAGAATCATCTAGGAGAGCTTCTTTAAAAAAATAAGCGAACAAAAAGTAATCCAAACTGCTAGCAGGATGTGGAAATCTGTATGTTTACCTATTGTCCTGGGGAATTGTTATCACAGGATAAATCTGTCAAACAATGTCTAGCTTGAACGAACCAATTGCAGCTTCAGGAACAATCTCCTTTTGCCTGCAGAGTTTAGCACATTCCCAAAGGAAACTCTACCCTGCCCCCACCACACCCTCCCAGTCCTTGGCTGCTCACTTGCCCTTCATTGCCCAGGTCAAGTGTATACTCAGGGGAAGCACGCTGATGGGCCCTCCTTTCTGTCATCTTTGTACTCCAAACGTTCATAGAGACTGCTACTGTGGCCTTAGATAGTTTTGAAAGTGAAAGGGAGCGGCATTCTTACTAATTATATGGGGAAAACAGGCATAAACCAGAGGAGTCTCAGGAAGACCAGGATGTAAAGTCACTCTAGACTTAGCACACTATACATAACACTTATTTACATATCTGTCCCACAGGCTTCTAAAGGGCAGGGACTTTCCCCCAGAGATTAGGACAAGGTCACACACTCAATAATAAGTGCAAAAAATGAATATTCTAGTTTACAAATAGACCCTGTCAGTTAGGGTGACATAAATTTCCCCCTGACTTCCGGAAAAATACAAGTTTCCAAACCAGCAAAGAGCAGAACTCAGGACCAGTTAGTTAAAACCTGACCTATGTGGCATCTTCTGGAAACTCGAAAAGCAAATGCCCGTTTCAGAAAATCACTCCTCTGGCTAGGTGTGGTGGCTCACACCTGTAATCCTAGCATTCTGGGAGGCTGAGGCAGTTGGATTGCTTGAGCTCAGGAGTTTGAGACCAGCCTGAACAAGAGTGAGATCCTGTCTCTACCAAAAGACTAGCTGGGTGTTGCAGCAGGCACCTGTAGTCTCAGCTACACAGGTATACTGGAGGCTGAGGCAAGAGGATGGTTTGAACCCAAGAGTTTGAGGTTGCTGTGAGATAATGATGCCACAGCACTCTACCCAGGGTGACAAAATGAGATAGAAGAAAGGAAGGGAAGAATGGAGGGAAGGAGGAAGGGAGAAAGGAAGGAAGGAAATAAATCACTCCTCTGCAAGTTCCTGAACCCAGAGTGAGCAGCAACAGAGTAACTACTCCCTAGCTTGAACTGATTTTATTTTCAGAAATGCAGTGATGAGGCTAATAAATCTATCAATTTTCCTATAATTCTAGGAAAGAATAGGCTGATATCCTAACCAAGGTAATTGGTAATATGCTGCTGTAACTTCTGCCTTGCTATGCAGAATGTCTGCAAATACATAATCAAGTAAACATATTTGTTTTGAAAATGACCTTAAGCACAGAAACAGACCCATCTGTTCTCTTTATCCATCTGCTTCTTGCCCTTCTCAGCAGCTTTGGATTAACCATAAAAATAAAAAATGGTACTAAAGTTGACCCTTGAACAACACAGGAGTTAGAAGCACTAATCCTAGCACAGTCAAAAACTGAGTATAACTTTTGACTTCCCCCAAATTTAACTAATATCTTACTACTGACCAGAAGCCTTAAGGATAGCATAACCAGTCAATTAACACATATTTTGTTGTGTATATTATATACTGTATTCTTATAATAAAGTAAGCTAGAGAAAAGAAAATGTTATTAAGAAAACATAAGGGAGAGAAATCTATTTAGTAGATTTCATCAAGTGTAAGTGGATCATCACAAGGGCCCTCACCCTCAGGGTCTTCCCAAGGAGCAGACTCAGGAGGAGGAAGACAGCAGGAGGAGGAGGCCTTGCTGTCTCAGGGTGGCAGGGGCAGAAGAGATGGGGGAAGTGGAAGGGGAGGCAGGAGAGGAGGCACACTCGCTGTAACTTCTCGTGAACAAAACCCAAATGCAAGTGGACCCACATAGTTCAAAGAGTTATTGGAAACACTGCACCAGTGCCGGCCAGATCAGGCACACACCTTACGGCTAATCAGTGTTCCAGAGGGGTCTGCAAAATGAGTCTCTCTGGTAAAAGTTAAGTAAACTACACAAGCAAGCAAACTCAGTCTGACAAGGACTTCTTGGTTGGCCTGACTCCCCATCAGGCTCCGTAAAGCCCTCTAAGCCTTGACCTTGAGCTTCAGCGTCTGGCCTTGTAGAGTTCAGTTTTATCGCTGCTCCTGTTGTGTCGGTTTTAGTGAGAATCTCCTCCACCCTGGTATCTCACCACCCTGCCTGGCCTCAGCAGGAATCCTGTCAGGTCCCCCTGCCTAATGCGTCTGCTCAGTAATTTTCCATTCAGGGACCCCCCCCCCCATTCCCATCTGTCCTTGTACTTAAGAGTTGAGCCAGATCTCTGGTACTGCAAACCTGTGTCAGGAGATTTCTTAAATAAAGGCTTCCTTATTTAACAAGTGTCATGAAAACTTTTGCTTAACAAGGCAGTTGTAGCACAGTTACTGTAAGGATGCCTGTGGGGGTTTGGCAGGAAGAGAGGGGCCGAGGCAGGCTGGGACCACGTTGTGAAGGATGCTGTATACCTGCGAAAGAGTCAGACAAACACAAATGCCTGCCCAGGTGAAGGAAGGGGGTGAAAAGCCCTGGGTGGCAGCTGTGTTCCCTGGAAGACCCTGCTGTGACTAAGGGTCGGATCTCCCCAGTTTCTGCTGCCCAGCATTGCCATCTAACAATCTTCCGTGCACAACTGAAATCCTATAGGAAATCTTATAAGAGATCTTCCAATATTACAAGTGTCCTTACTAATTTAAGTTTTTAAAACCTGTGTTACTTCGAGGCAAACAAAAGCCATCTGTGTGCCTTCTTAGGCCACCTCCTTTGCTCAGGATGTGCAAAGGGGTGTCTTCAATTGGCGTCCTCACTCCTCCTGTAAAGCGATGTGAGCACAATGTGAACAGCAGCACAATAGGAGGAGGAGAAACCCTCTTCTGCTTCTGCTTAAGGAAACCAAGTTTCTGGCAGCCAGTGAAAAGAGACGGCTTTTGTGTATGACGGTACTCAGGGGAGTGGGGGAGGAAGGAAGGAGGGCCGGCCTGACCCTAGGGAATCACAGAGATAAAGTAACACTGAGAAAACAGAACGGACAGGCCGGTAGAAAAACCCATACCACATACCTATATTTTCTAACCTAAGAATCTGATGAGCAAAATATACGTCTAATTTAAGTAAGATTAAATGCCAGACTGATGATGTAACCAAAATTGCTGGGCAGCTCTGAGGCACTTAGGAAAAGCATAGAGACTTATGAAACTGAAACCATACATGGAACTAGGCTTCGGAGTCTCAATGGAACTTCAACAGAACATCTCCTGCTCCCTCGCCATGACACTGGATGAACTTTCTAAGACATAGCAGGGAATTCTGAGTGTGATTAAACATTCTTCAACCCTTAGCTTTTTTCCCCTTTTATATTTAAATGCAGAGGGTCTCTAAGATGTAGTAATAGTATCCTAAGTTACTAAACCCTTCTAACAGTCTCAAGTGGTTTCATCTAATCCTTACTATTACTCTCTCAAGTAGGCAGGGCAGGTTAATCACTCTCATTTGGTAGTAGAAGCAGCTACCTGCCTGAAGTCACATAGCTAATCAGTGCCAGAATAGAATCTAGAACCCTAGTCCCCTAACTTTAGTCCTGTCTGTGTGGTCTCAGACTGGAAGGAAGCTGAATGCACTCTCCACTCTCTGGAGCTTAAGACCATATCAGCTAGATCACTCCCCTCTGTGCTGCCCAGGTCCTGGCTTCCTCCTTCCCTGGCACAGGCTGCAAAGTCTCAACTAGGAATACCTAGCTCATCTGTAAAGAACCGCCACCGCCATGGAGAAGCTGTAGCCACCCCACCTGCTCTTCTGCCCTACCGCAGTCTCACCAGGCAAGAGGGTGCTGAGGCAAGTCTCACCAGGCAAGAGGGTGCTGAGGTCTGTACAAGACCACAGTGCCAATAACAGCCTCTGACTGCATCCAAATAGTTAACACGACAGTCTTAACCTGGCAAGATCAGGTGCTCTCCTAGGTATCCTTTACCTGTAGACTATAATCACCTAGAGGAGTATGACCTTCCGTCTACTTTGGTGACGTGAACACACTAAAGTCAGGGAATCTGCACTATGCATTTATACAGAAAATTATATTGTAAACAGACATTCCTTTCTGATTTTTTAAAAGAGAAAGTTAGATTTATGTCTACAGTTAATACTCTTTTAGAGCTCTGAGAAGACTAACTGGAAACCAGACTACATCCACTGAAGGCTTAGCAAAGCCCCCTGTTGGTGCCTGCTCAAAGACCCTTGTCCAGGCTTGGCTGGGGGAAACAACTCTGGTCATACCCATCCTCTGACTTCATTCTGTACCACAAAAGAAAAGTTTGATTTCCCCAGAAAGTACACCATTTAACCTAGGCGACAGATCGGACCTACGGCAGAACTGCCATGAGGTGGATATCCCATGCCGACTTTCAGAGCAGCTAGGGGAAAATAACTAGTATGACAGTCACACTAAACTAGTGACTAAGTAGTAACTAAGTAGTGACTAACTA